AAGATCCAGGACAAGGAAGGGATTCCTCCGGATCAGCAGAGGTTGATCTTCGCCGGAAAGCAGTTGGAAGACGGCCGCACCTTGGCCGACTACAATATCCAGAAGGAATCGACCCTTCACTTGGTCCTCAGGCTTCGCGGTGGAATGCAGATTTTCGTCAAGACCTTGACGGGAAAGACGATTACTCTTGAGGTGGAGAGTTCTGACACCATCGACAACGTTAAGGCTAAGATTCAAGATAAGGAGGGGATCCCACCGGACCAGCAGAGGTTGATCTTCGCCGGAAAGCAACTTGAGGATGGTCGTACTCTTGCCGATTACAACATCCAGAAGGAGTCGACCCTTCATCTAGTGCTCAGGCTTCGTGGTGGTATGCAGATTTTCGTTAAGACCTTGACCGGGAAGACCATTACTTTGGAAGTTGAAAGCTCTGACACGATTGACAACGTCAAGGCTAAGATCCAGGACAAAGAAGGCATCCCTCCGGACCAGCAGAGATTGATCTTCGCCGGAAAGCAACTTGAAGACGGTCGCACCCTTGCTGACTACAACATCCAGAAGGAATCTACACTTCATTTGGTGTTGCGTCTTCGTGGAGGTATGCAAATCTTCGTGAAGACCTTGACTGGTAAGACCATTACCCTGGAGGTGGAGAGCTCAGACACTATTGACAATGTCAAAGCCAAGATCCAAGACAAGGAAGGCATTCCTCCGGACCAGCAGAGGTTGATCTTTGCCGGGAAGCAGTTGGAGGACGGCAGAACCTTGGCCGACTACAACATCCAAAAGGAATCGACCTTGCACTTGGTGTTGCGTCTGCGTGGAGGTATGCAGATTTTCGTGAAGACCTTGACAGGGAAGACAATCACTCTTGAGGTTGAGAGCTCCGACACAATTGACAACGTGAAGGCCAAGATCCAAGACAAGGAGGGAATCCCACCAGACCAGCAGCGTCTCATCTTCGCTGGTAAACAGCTCGAGGATGGACGCACACTGGCGGACTACAACATCCAGAAGGAGTCGACCCTCCACTTGGTCCTCCGTCTCCGTGGTGGTTTCTAAACACCCTTGTCCTGTGTCTGATCAAAAGTCTATGCTCTGTTTTAAGTTTCCAAGCTGTTCTTTCGTTTCTCTTAAGATTTCGTCGTTTATGTTTTTGGGGCCTTGTAAAGACCCCTAATGAATAATTTGATCAGCTATGTTTGCATTTACTCGGTGGAATATATTTCGTCTCTCTATTATAATCGTGTTTGCCTACTCTTATATCGTCAGATGAATCTTGTCTCATCAGTAGACAGTAGGAGGTTGATGCTGCAATGAGTTGAAACTTTTGGGTATTACTTGGAAGTTGTTTTGTGAATTGAAAGTGTAGGGCTAGGTATAATGTTTTAGGTACGTGTCTCTTGAATTGTGAATTGAGTTGGAACCCGATGATTGTTCACGTGCTTGTAGTACACACTAATATGGAATATACTTCCTCATATTCAGTGGAACTTTAAGCAATTCTAACATTTTGAGCTTTTGAAGAGATGCAACAGGAATGCAAGACCAACAAAACAAAAATTTCATCTTTCTTTCGTTTTCAACCATTGAAAACATACAAGTACAATGTGTACCATGTACTATAATGTTAACCATAGGAGAAACAAGAAAAAATCACAAACAAACAATGTCCAGGGAAAACAAACCAAAGATCCAAAAATGTTTTTATCAAGAGAATAAAGAAATGTATATGCCACCAATTTGAAGTTTGTATAAAGTTAGACCTATTAGATTAGTTATTGGTCAAGTGGTAGCCATTCCATTTCCAGCTCTAATTCTCCAGACTCTACATTCTGAAGCTTGAGTTGAACCTCTTGTTTCACTTTCCCATCAACAATGTTGATGATACTGTCATCTATTAACGGATTATCATGCGATTTTAGCCATTTCCCAATCTGCATATCCCCAAACATTTCAGGATCCCCAAAAGCCATTGCAGATGTTATCAACGGTTGGATATCTATCTCAGCTTCCCCCATTATGTCATCAGCAGAGAATGTATCATAATCATACACTTGCTGCAATCACAGACAACCCATGAGATATATTGCTTATACCGAATAACCGAAATCATCACTAGAAAACTTCATCTGCTTACCAATTTCACTGGACCATAGCTCTCAGGAACAGACAGCATGAGTTCTTGATTCCATACCGGGTTCAAGTTACTATTAACAACAGTTGTTTGTTGTTTCTGAACAGTCAAGGCAATGATTATAAGATTCATGTAACTCCATATATGCGGGTGATAAAAGTCACAAAGAGATCACTTACTTGCTTCCCTAGATTCAACACAACATATGGATCACTTGACATCATGTCTCTGATTGCTAAGTTTGTGCCTTTCTTAATAGTCACCTTCAACAATCCAATAAACTCTACCATTCCTTCCTGAAACTGTCCAAATTATCGATTTCAACAATAAGATTTTACCAAAAAAACAACTACAACTCTACAAGTTAGAAGCTTTACTATCTTTTGCGATGATGAATTTGTGCGAAAACTATCCATAATCTTTCTAGAAAGACTTGATGTAAGAAAAGCTGAACTCTTTGTTGAGCCCTTTCTGGATGTAATCCGCAAGCTAGGTTTCAGAAACTCTTGGAGCTCATATTTTGACCTAGATAAAGATCCAAGATTTGAGTAACTCACTAACCAACAATAGATTAGTCTCTCACAAAGTTTTAGTTTTCGGTATCTTACCTAATGTATCTCATACGCTGGTCATGACTAACATCAGGTCCAGGCTTGGAGAATCCTTCTGGTATAAAAGCTTCGTAGATTGAATTAGCAGAAACATTTCCTCCAATTTCAATCATACCGTCGACTTCCTCATCTGACCATTCATCAAGTGTCACAGACAAGACCTGGAGAAAACCAAAGTATGAGCACACACCAAAAAGAGCTCAGATTGTAGAGACAGCAACTAAGAAGAGAACCAATATCTTATAGAAGCTACACCACCTTTGAAATATGAGTACCGAGGCTTCTGTGCACACCGCAACATTTTAAGCAAATGAATACTCCGATATTTGCTGATCTGAAATATAGCTACTAAGTGAGCATTCACCATAAGAAACAAAAACATAGAAACTACCCACAAGCACATTTGGATGGAGGAGCTCTAATCGCATAAAGCGAATTAGTAACTTCGGTTATACTAAAGAATTTCAACTAATTATGCTTTCAAGGTTCTAGATTTTCCGCTAAACGAGCAAAGAAAGTTACAGAACCAACCACATGTTAAGCATCATCATACATGACAATATGGTTTAGAAAAGTTTCCAGCTTTCGAATTCATGTGACATGTTGTTTATTAGGAAACTATAATAAGATGATAAAAACCACAAATCTCGCGGCGATAACTTACGCCCATTTAGGATCAGAAGCGCCACAATCAGCGCAGACTCGGTTATCAGGTTGATTCAAAAGATCCCTTATTCTCCTTTTACCTGTTATATAACACAAAGTGTATTGATTGAGTCACAACATAATCAGACACATTGATTGAATCATTTGTGAATATTCTCCAGCCATTATAACAACGAAACATGAATCCAGAAATTTATCAAAATCATGAATGAAATCCACAAATCAATCAATCTAACATACCTGAGCCAGGCTTACCGAGTCCGGCTGCATAACTGCTCATTGCTCTTCTAAGAACCAACGAT